GAGTATCCTTCTATTTAATTATTTTTTACAGACATCCTAAATTTCATTGCATGGTTTATATTATTTCTTTTAAAGTTTCTTTCTCAAAGGAATTGCTGCCAAATCAACTTTCCACAGCTAGAACCTTATTTAGGTCTGCAATATAGTATATTAACAGGTGTTGCAATAACAATGATGCAATATATCCCAAAAGGAAAGTGTGGGAACTCAGCTGTAACAGTAAGCCTCCTGTTCCTTGTGTTACTAAGGAGCTTTTACATTAAGAAGACATGTGAAGGCTGCTCAACTCACTGATCTCTCACTGCCCCTCTCCACCATCACCACTGCTGACCAAGGCCAGCTCCTCTTGCCTAAACAACATATTCTTGGAATCTTGGGAAGCAGAACAGTTTTCTCTGGCAGACAACTGAGCAGATAAGTCCTTATGTGTATTTATTAATTTGATCAAATAAACAGGATGAACTTGAAAGTAAACACTGGGTGGGTGGGAGCAAAGATCAGTAATGTCCCACGTTACAGACTAGGACACAACATGGCAGTCGACTCGGTTTTTAATACACTTGATTTATGCATTTCAGTCAGGCTAAAGCACATCAACGACATTATCTAACACTATCTGTAGAATCTTTTTTTTTTGCAAACTATACATCTTCTGAAAATCGCAGTTCAAAATTGGTCCTTGTTCGTATATATTTTTTATTTATGCCTTGTCTGGCTTTAACCCTGCGCTAGGTGAGAGGGGATTGGACAGCAGACTGATCTACATGTATCTTTCGGTTGCCACAAGTTATCATTAGCTCCATTCCTGATTGCTCTTGCCTTTATAGAAAGACATACTGCTGTGACAAATTGAAGAAACGGCAAAGAAAATGTGGAGGAGGATAGGCATAAGGAGAAGTAACGTCAACAAAAAGATCATGATTTCCCATGATCACATTATTGCCCAGACTTTGCATTGCTTTTCTGGTTTCATCCTGTTGCAGAAGAAAGTCACAGCTATAATTGAGAAGGAAAAAAATCAGGAAGGAAACTCATTCATAGAGTTTATGGGAAGAATTTGCTATTGCTTAAGTCATTCTTTTTTACTGCTGATTTGAAAACACATTGGCAGTATACATTTCAAAGAGCGTTGCACAAGAAATTTAAGTAAAATTGTCTGATTTGTTTTCTTTGATTGCATCATTTGAAGTCCTGATCTACAATCCTGTGATAACTGGATGGTATTTGGTGCGGCATCCAGGTGGATTCTACACACTGGTGGTGGTGGAGGGGAGTCCCCATTACCTGTAAAGCACTTTGAGTGGAGCGTCCAGAAAAGTGCTATATAAGTGTAAGCAATTATTATAATTATAATTGGCATTTCTGTTTTTAGCATGTGGTCACACCACAAGAAAATGACACCCGTTGCCACACAGAGATAAGGTTAAATGGCTAGTGCATATTAAAAAAAGGTATTCAGTGAATTAAACCAAGAACTTTAAAGAACAATGAGTTTTTTTTAAGATGTAATAAATGTTTGTAATTTTACAGCTCTTGTACAGCAAAATGTCATACGTTGTCATTCAAATCCTTCAGGTTCCTATAGGCAGACTATTGCGACTAATACACTATGTATGACTTGTTGCTACAGAAAAAAATGAAGAAAATACCTTACATTAGGTACAGTAAGTATACGTGTAAAAATATTGACAAAAATGATCTCTCAGTCGCTGTGTAGTACATCATGAGCGAGTATATTCTTTTCCAGGTCCTGAATTTCTATTATCAACTAACATTAAATATAACTCCTTTAAATAATCCACTCTTGGCTACTGTTGTACCAATTCTAATGCTTTTCAACTCTTTGATTTTATACTATCACTGCTTATTCAAAAACAACATTGCATCTGTGAAATTATTTTTTTCTATAAGATACAGTAGCTATTATCTAAGCACATCTACATTTTATATATAAGGATTTGTCCCAGATCTGCCCAAATGTCTTTCCTGTATATATGGCTCTAAAAATAAATAACTCACTACTGTCCCAGGCAGAGAGAGCTGTGACGCACTTGGTTGAGAAAGCCAGAGGCCAACACATCACAGCTGGGATAGCCTGTTAATCCATCTCGTTCACACAGAAAATGGCAAAAAACAATGTCCTTCCTAAAGACACTTCTCATTTTTTAAAGAAATCCCCCAAAAAATCCAGAATAATTAATTAATTCCTTACACTATATAGCGCTTTTCTGAACACTCCACTCAAAGCGCTTTACATGAAATAAGAACGCTCACCACACATCAGCTATTAGTGGGGAGGAGAGCAGAGTGATGAAGCCAGTTCATAGATGGGGATTATTAGGAGGCCATGATTGGTAAAGGCCAGGGTGAAATTTGGCCAGGATACTGGGGTTACACCCCTACTCTTTTCAAGAAACACCCTGGAATTTTTAATGACAACAGAGAGTCAGGATCTCAGTTTTACATCTCATCCAAAGGACGATGCCTTTTTACAGAATTGTGTCCCAATCACTATACTGGGGCATTAGGACCTACATAGGCTTCAGCGTGAGCACCCTCAACTGTTGCAGGCTGATATGGCTGTTGACCATATATAAACAGAATATATGTAAAAAGAATAGATAAACACAGACCTGAATTGTGTGATTTACTGATGTAGCCACTCTGTACTTAATCCAAAGTGTGAACAAGATTTTTCTTATGTTGACATAAGGGAGTGTGTATATATATATATAAGGGAGTGTCATCCAGAATTCTCATGCTTTAAAACACAAACAAAAAATATATAACACAAGACAATAAAGAAAAGTTAATGGATGACTCATTGGACACAAAAAGGTGCCTATATACAGTATGCTTTAGCTGATCTTGCTATACTCAATGCAAATCAATTTGCGATCAAAGAGTACAAATACAGAAGAGAATGCAAAGACTGATGCCTTAAAAGTTTTAAAAATAAAATGCATCTATGTATTTCAATTTACTTTGACACAGAAATCTGTTACTGTTCTAAAACACCTCTGCAGTATCTGTAGGCAGGAGCTATTGCAGGGACATCAGTAAAACGTTATTTTATAGTGACAGGAGTCCTGAGCTTTATAATGGAAAGCAGTTATTACTGTAGGTAAGTGTGACTTTGAAATGTTCCATCAGCTCTATCAGGAAACTGTTATGAGTGACTCAGCCTTTAAGATTGTTCATTCCTTTAAAGGTCAGATTATATTTACGTGGCTCTCATCTCTGAAAGCATTCTTGTAGGCAACAGTGTAAGGGTGTACACATTTTATGGAGCGTTCTGTACGATGGAATGCATGAAACCTTTGAAGATCTTATTTGTTGAAAAAATGGAGAGAATTACATCTAGTGAATTTGCATCAATCTTTCTCTCCTTTGGTCATAGAAATTCCAGAAACTTTGCTGTGGTTCATACAGTAGGTACCTGTAGATCAGATGGTTGGTTTCACTCTAACATCATTGTGACATCAGTGATTTGATACTTTTTACTCTCCATTCACTTGTAATGAGTTCATGCATCACTTGTATTGATACATCTGAAACGCCAGCATGAGATAGATAAATATAGAAATATAGAATATAGAAATATAGAAAAAATAATGCACCATGATATAAAATAACAAACCCATTGCACTAGTGTATTCCAAGCCATGAAAATATTATGTATTAACAATATTACCACCTGCAGTTCTTGCAAATGCCATTGCGATTCGCTGTACCTTTTAAGGAAAATACAAGCCCTGAAAGCATTCTATTTTTTAAATTATGCTATAAAATATATTTTGAAATTTCAATCACCACTTTAAGTTTAATAGATGTTTTAGATGTTTCGTAGCTCTTAAAAAGGTTTAGCTGCATAGCCTACATCTGTAAAGTCCAGGTCTGAAATTGCTCCAGGATGTCTCAGCTTGCAGCTGACAGACCTATTCATGTAAAGCAATTATCCAAGCAATAATCAGCTCCTGTAAAAAAAGAAGGGCATTGGAAGACAAGAAACCATCTGCACAGAAAGCCTCATTATTTGAAACCCTTTCCCAGATTCAGATCATTTCTTTGTGGATGGTTTATACGTCCAGAATGTTTATCATCACTGCAGACGCTGGCCTTTAGGGAAAGCACATCTTGGTCTAAGCAGACATGACATTTCATTCATTTGAGCCAGTCAAGGTCTGGTGTCCCCTATCTCCTTCTCTCAGGGTTGCAAAATCATAGTACCTAACCTTGTTAAGTGTTGCATGTCAACCAGAAGAAGGGAAACGCTTTCAAGGCAGAAAGCTCTGGAGGAGATCTTAAACACAGAAACTTTTCTGCTTAAAATGGGAGTGAGAAGTATGGGGAAAACTCTTATGTCTTTATGATAGTATTATATTGTAAAGAATATACTGTAAAGTAGACCAGTTGTGTAGATTTTTCCCTTGAAGGCGTGATGGTCATGAGAAATATTGAACCAAAATAGAAATGGAACAGCTTAAGTGAAATCAGGGACCCAGCAGATTAGATTCGTCAGCTATGAAAGCAAAACCAATGGTCCACTCATTGCTCCTCTTAAAAGATGGGAATCAAAATGTGCATTAATCCCTTTGAAGCCTGTCACTGCCTTGTTTTTAAGACTCTCCTGTTTTAAGAGTCTTAAACAGAATAAAGGTGGGATAAGGAAACGTTCGATTTTTAACATTATAAGTGGATAGTAACCTTTTAATTTGTTCAATTTTATTTTTTAAATACACCAATGTGTGTCATTTTCCTAAACAAATTCCAAAGGCCAGATGGCCCAGTTGGCCTCTCCTCATTTGTAACTTTTCTTAGGTTCTGATCTCTTTACTCTGACACAGTTCAATCTTTTTTGTTTGCTGTGGAGATGATATGCCCCATGCCCTTCAACAGAAAAACTGTTCTCAGTATAATTCCAGGAGGGGGAGGAGGGGAGTTTTGCTGAATTGTTTGTTCGTGTAATTCAAGATATATCAAAGCTGGAACGGGATTTCTGAACGGCTAGGATTTTGCATGGTACATGTGGCACCACTCTGCTTGCTTTGCTTTCTCCCTGTCCCACATGGAAACAAATACAGTTGCACACCTCCTCAGAATAAAACACCCACTGCATCATGTCCAAGGGCGTGCATGTAGCTGTTAGAGGCTTTAGTGCTGGACTAAGCTCTGGCAGCCCTTTTTTCACATTTGCAATCATTCTCTTGCTCCCATCTACAGAATGTAAGGACATGGGAAAGAAAGATAGAAGGGATGGAGTTTCTGATTCAGGGTTGATGTCTGGGGCCTTCATTGCTGATGACAGCCACGAACCCAAGGACTTGTTCGCTGGTGGTAGTTTTTTCAAATGGGTAGGTGGGTGGTGGGCAGCCTCTCCAAAATGATGCAGTATTGGTGGCAGAGGAGATGGGGAGCGCTGGGCGAACAGTGCTGATTAATTTACCTGATATTTTATCCTTTCAGAAATGACTGAGAGATGTGCTGGCAGCTGAAGAAAGGACTCCTCTGACAGCGATCTTGCGAGCCTGGTTTTAGATGTCTGTTCTCATCAGGGAAATCTAAAACCTCCTAGATTGAATTGCAGCTACCCTCTCTCGCCTCTGCCTTCTTCCTTGCTTGTGTCTCAGCATAGCTCCACTTCCCTACGTGTCAGCTCTGTAAATATTTAGATGGCATTTCCTGTAGAAAGCCTTGCTGATTCACAACAGCTCATTGATGAACTTTCAGGTCTATATTTGGAACTGCCACTCAGGATTATTATTTTAACCAATATCATGTGACATCTTGGAGCAGTATTTGTGAGTATATGTTATATTTCATTTTTTTAAGTATTGTTCAGTAGCGTGTTACCCCCCACACATATTGTAACTCTCACATCTAACGCTAATTGCTTTGAACAGCATGGAAAATTCTCATTGTGTCATGAATGTAATGCACTGTGAGCATCAAATATTTCACGTCAAGCCACTAATTAGTCTTTCCCACAACTGACATTAGTTCTAACCCTGCCCTCGATACCAGATACAATACCAGAGATCCAGCAGTGAGAGATCCGTAGCAAATTGTGCAATTGACTATAATTTCACGGCCATCGATGTATTACAGCAGGCACTTCCAGTCTGCAGTTCACAAATGTAAATGACTATTAAAATATCTTTTAAGAAAAAAAATGCAGACTGTACAATGTCGAGGTCTAGAGATCACAGTAAAGGAAGCAATATAGTACTTAAGGGAAATTGTTCTCTTACTGCAGTGAGTGTGGTTCATGTGCAGGGCTATTTGTACACTCATTAAAGAAGTAAGCTGGAGTTTGGCATTAAATTAAATATTTTTTTAAGCTACTAGGAAATATCTGACAACATATTATTTAAATATTGCAACTCTTCAGGTAAGACTTATGAGAAGTCGTATAATGGCATTGCTTTTTAAAGGTTCTTTTAAATGTGGCTTATTGTAGGGGTTATTGGGGAGTTACCTATACACGGTATAGTCACAGATGAATTTGCACTACAAATGTGCAAACATGAACATGAAGACAGACGTTTATTTTAAAACAATCAGACCCTGATTAGGTTGAAACGGTTAGAAAACAGAAGGATGGATGACCAGCATGCTTGTGATCAGACTCCAGCCATATTCTCACCAGAACAGAAGGGGGCATCTGAGGTTAGGTGCTGCGGTAGTCACCTTGAAAAGTTTTCAGTTCCAGCATTGGTGGCAGCTGCCATGACATTGATGATACATTGCTGAAACCTGAGCTCACCTCTAACGTCATACCTCATAATGAAACGGCGTGTCTACCAACAAGTGCATGAGTCCTGATGCCACCCATTAACCTGATCCCATCCTGCATTGTGATATCCATGTCATTAAGCTACTGGAGTTGGAAGGGAGATCAGGGGAGGCAGATGACAATGGCTTAAATGGGTTGCAAACAGGATGAATAGCTGGCAGCCAGCAGAGCTAAAGGCTACAGACGATGACCTTGCAATGTCTGCCTGGAAAATGTTGAAGCTTCTGAAGCAGGACTTAAATCTGAGCTGTCACCATTGTCGCTCTGCAAATAATAATGCAGAACTGATGTCAAGCCCTAATCCTGACTGACAACCACAGGCTATGGGCTTTGTTCTCCTGTTATAGCATGTCCAGTCTGGGGGTGGGGGGACTTTTGTGCATAGTGTTCAGTGCTGTTTCCCACATCACTATGCAATACAGTACAAAGTATAGTAGCCATTCACTTGAATAATACAGTTATATAACTCAGAAGTCCGTTCCTTCAGAAGATGAATAAACCATTGCAAGAAAACTGGAGAGAGCATCCATCCATCTATTTTCTAATGGCTGTTTCTAATACAGCATCGCGGGAGAGCCAGAGCCTATCCCAGCAAGCAATGGGTGCAAGGCTGGGTACACCCTGGATGGGATGCCAGTCCAGTACAGGGCAGACACACACACTGACACTCACAATTTTTCCAGAAGCTAGTTAACCAACCAGTATGTCTTTGGGCTGTGGGAGGAAACTGGAGTACCTGGTCGAAACCCACGTGAATATGGGGAGAACTCAGGGCCCCAGTGCTGGCAGAGCTGGAGAGAATAGTTTAACTTTACGAAATAATTAACTTTTAAAGCTGTACCTCACAAAAACACTGAAGTATAATTTTCTATTTTTAGGATAAATTACTATTCTTAATGTTTATTAATTTTTATATCAACTAAGCAAGTGCAAAGTGTGACGTAGTTTGTCATCAGACTCCTTTGGTTTATGAAATGAAGGAAAGCTTTTTCAACTGCAATGACTGAATTTTTTATTGAAAAATAAAATAAACTATTTACTACACAAGTGAACAAACGGTTGAATTTTACTCGATTTGCCTGTCAGAACTATTTCCGTGCAGGAACTACTGTTGCCACAGAATTGTCTGCATTTATCCGACTTCTGCTGTCACTTTCTTCTCACAGTGATTCTGAATTGTGCACTAGTGAGCAAACAGATATGATCCAATTTGCCATTAAAAGCCTTGATGGTAGCATTTACTCATTGTGCTCTGCATCCATCTTCACAACTTGTTTATTAATCTGTAACTGACATTCTACTGTAAAATGTCATGGCTTACATGGTGTCAGCTTGGTTTCCTGAAAGTTGAGCTTTGGAAGAGTAAGAAAGCTTTAACTTCCCAGCAGAAGCCATTGTATAAAGTGCAGATGGTTAATCTCGCTCTTGTTAATCTTTTTCTTCTGTAAGAAAGCAAACACATTTAGTTTTGGAAGGAATAGTAGTGCTCAGATAGGTCATTGCACCAATCGCTGGCCTCCTTAACACTAAACAGAATCTCAAGGATAATATTTCATTCTCAAGACTTCTTAAGAGATGTAGCAAAAGCATTATTAAATCCCCATGGGTGGTCTTGTAAATATGTCTCTGTCTGCATGACCCTTGCATTGCTGGTATTCTACTCATTGTGCTAGGCTGAGATTGAAAACCTTGCGCTGCATTTTTGTGTCAATTAAAATTAATCTTCTTCCGAGGAGTAATCACACCTTGTGGGCTCATACGTTTCTCTTGAATTCTTCTGTGATTGGGAAAATCACATGAGGTTTGATAGCAAAGTGAGATTTTAATGGTGCTTAAAGGTCATCCGCTGTGTTGGTTCTAATGTAACTGCCAACCCATTGCACTGCACAGGACAGTATTTTTCATTGCCAAGCCCTTGGTATGTTGGGATGTTCTACTTATCATCCTTTACCATTTTTGAAGCATTTTTTTGTAACTGTAACTGATGGCGAGATGTGTCGACATCCTGCATCAATAGTGGAATGTAGATTTCCTCTCTGATGTGGAGTTAGATATTCAGGTCAGCATGTTGTTAATGATCACCACATTAGGTTCAGGAATGTAATAAATTAGCCTGGGATTTTGCTGAATGGCAGCTTTGCTATTCTTTCTGTCAGATGTTGTTGATTTGAATGCAATCAAGCGATGACTTCTCTGCATTTTAAAAAGAAATCCTACTTCCCTATATTTAGGGCAGACTAATGTACCCACAAGCAATTATAATCAGTGCCAAGTAAAGCAATCACACACCCCAGCTAAAGACTTTTCCCCTCTGTTCTCAAAACAAAGTTATCAGGAGCCGACTTACATAGTTATATTATGTCTGTGGGAAAAGTGCATTATCGAAATGCAGTGGGATAAGTTCAGATTGAATTCTCCACAAACAGATTTTTCATTTCAGAACTGCTGGCCTGTCATTTTATCGACACTTGCATATGTATTGTACACCATTAATCAGACAACACAGTCAACTGTGCAGTGGCGGGCCATGCCATAGATTCCAAAGCTGCTGAGTGAAGATGACACTTTGAGATGATCTGTCTGTTGCAACACATGTCCTCCAACCTGCACCCCTTATAAATCTTATCCATGAAAACAGCAAGTGTGTTCACTGGCTCATATTTCATCGTTGGGCCAGAGATGGGTGAAAAAGACATTATATAATTACAAACATTGAAAAAACAATTTCAGAATATAATATGGGTCAACATAACATTATCAACCAATTCGGTAGGTTGTGTCTTCATAAAAATCAAACGGACACACAATAACAATACTGGGTTTCACAACATGGTTACATAGGTAACTTTGTTTTTCAAGTGACACTTTATGAATGCATAATAAACAAACTGCCCATGGTGTATTATTTAACCATACAGTATATATATATATCATGTGAATATATATATACAGTGCCTTGCGAAAGTATTCGGCCCCCTTGAACTTTTCAACCTTTTGCCACATTTCAGGCTTCAAACATAAAGATATAATTTTTTTATTTTAT